CTATTTACTAGCATTCAAGCACGACATTTGTATCTTACTATTTACTAGCATTCAAGCATGACATTTGTATCCTGACATTTGTATCTTACTATTTACTAGATGTTCAACTGTGATATGTATAGCTTAGTATTTACTTGAAGTAGTTCAATATGTCAGAAATTCAGGTGTGCATGAAATAATCATTAAAAGTGTGTCTTGAAAATAGCTTTTCTTCTAAAAACAGTGACATGCAGTAACAAGTTGCAACTAGGTTAACACTCTAAGAATGATATGAATAACCAATACTTTTTTTATTAGTATTAACAGAGATCAATCCATTACTATAAACAGAGGCCAGTAATGATTTATTATCATTATTAATGAAAAGCATCACTACAGGCATTGTTAATTAAGCTTCTTTACCCAAATACTATGATTCTTCTACCTATTTTTCCCATTTGATGTAAATAAACCATCTTTTTTAAAGTATCACACATCATTTACAAACTGATTATACAAGGAATAACCCCACACAAAGGAAATTATACTCTTACCTTGCTCCAGAGATACATCTAGTGAACAGCATTGACCCTATCTGAGTCAGAGATTTTCCTTCTAAGCCATGAAAACTGCTCAGAGTGATACCTGTCAGCACATTGAAAAAACAATTTCTAGTAAAGGTAAAAAAACAAAATTAAAATATACCACAATTCAGTCTTCTCTATGAGATGCACCCTAAGTCTTTATACCTATACTCAGTTTGGTTTCTTAATGTACATTACAAATACACACTAAAAACACAGTTTTTTAAGAAAACATTTAAGAAAAGATAGTGAGAAATATGGCTTAGGATATGAATAACACATGAAAAGGTTTAATCATTAAATAATGACAAAGCTCTCCTTTAAAAACTATTCTGGTTAACTTACAGCTCATCAGTTGTAAGGAAATTAAACAAAAATTCTTAGAACTTTAAGTTTATGAAATATACTACAGTTACAAAAACAATGGAACCCTATAGTAAAATATTCTTTATATACACTCTCTACTACTATAAATTTCAGGCTCAGGTTTTAGTTTAAATGCTGATTTTTGTCTAACATGTACACCTGAGTGAACCATGTTTATAACAAAATCCATGTATAAAAATTATGACAAAATTATCTTTATCAAGTTCATCAATAAAACTTTCTAGGAAATGAAAAATCATTTTAAGTGAGAACAGTATTTTAAGGACATAAATTTTTGGAATAATTATTCAAAAAATCCATAAAATAGAAGGTAGTTTTTGAAACTTTTTTTAAAGATCATAAAGAAAATTAATGTTATTTTCATACATTTACAACATAGTAAAATTATTATACAACATTCCAGATTTTAAGCTACTTAAAAATACTTTTATAACCTCCAAAGTTTTAGTTTACAAAACAAGTTTTGAATAAGTGTAAAATTATTAACTGTAATGAAACCCTTGTTCTGATGAACAATTAACAAATAATTCTATTTATGAACATAAATGATGCCACACCGTTTAATTGGCACATGCAGATGTCACTAGTCTTCACAATCACTGTTAAGAAAGGACTGACAACAATACTATATGCTTATGAGAAAGAAACTGCAGTAGCTAACTAAATACTTGAAAAGAAAAATTCATTAGTATTTCTATTAAAATTTTACAAACTTGAGAAAATATATACTATAAAAAATGTTTAATATCTGCCTTAAAACACATACTAAAAATGTTTAATATCTACTTTAAAACACATACTAAAAATGTTTAATATCTACCTTAAAACACATACTAAAAATGTTTAATATCTACCTTAAAACACATACTAAAAATGTTTAATATCTACCTTAAAACACATACTAAAAATATTTAATATCTGCCTTAAAGCACATACTAATCTGCAGAAATTCTCTCTAAATTTTGTGATAATTTTGGGAATGAACATTTTCATATCACATATGATGTAAAAATTATTCTATTCACTAATTCAACGTTTTGCAGAGCTTGTTACTTGATTATCCAGGACTTGATTTAACACTTTTTAAATTATGTACACAAATACAAATTTAATGCTTCCCAACAGGACACACATCATATAGAAATTAAGTTATCCAAAGGATCACTTATTCCCAAATTTGAATTCATTATTAAATGAAACAACAGAGCCCAAGCTAAATAAAAAAATCTTCACAACAGTACTAGGTAATTCTTAATAATCATGGATTTGTTGATTGAAAAATTATTCATTACTACATGTACAGTATGGATACTTATAAATACCTCTGTATGCAGCACAAAACATTTGGTGTGAATTAGTGGAATACTCTCAAATTGAAAGGTAAAATCTTTATTATTAGTTACAATCGACTAGTTTCAGCAACACAGTTACCATTCTTATATATTAGATTTCAAATTGTCTGAAACTGAGCGAAATGATACTTTAAATTTAGTAGTTAAATTGTCCTTGGATTTAGCAGTTAAATAAAAGCCGATATATATATAGTCAGTTTATGATATTTGCCAACAAAATTGATACACACAATTCTTTTTTTTTAACACAAATACGTTGTAATATACACACACACAACAATATAATTGACAATAATAGTTATTACAAATATTTATCATGAACAATAATTTATATACAAAATTTTACAAACCTACAAGCAATATAAAATATTTTTTTTAGTCTGGAATTTCTTCGTCATCTTATAAAGGGTTCACAATGAGTGAGCTAATTATGTGTTGATGTAGGTACAATTCACTTAACGGGAAGCTAGCTAGCTTTTTCCCTTGTTATTCACCAGCCACATGCACCCAGTTTTCCACAATATAACATTTTTGTAAAAATACTAATGTCTGACGAGAATCCACTGAAGTTAGATGATTTGTAATCTTGGGAACTTTGTAAATGCTCCGGGTCAAATATCTGAAGTTTTCTGACTGATAAGCATTATAACAATCACAGTTATAGCTTCTGAAGTTTATAGCACACTGACTGCAGCAAACTAATAATAGATACTCTCTTTTTTGGCATGTCACGTTGGTTATATTTATAGGCATGTGGAGGATTTCCAAAAAATTCAGATTATATAACAATATGAATTTATGCATTTACATACATACATATATATATTCTTGATTCTTACTCTCGAGAATCTTCTACAACTTTGGAGAATAGACGAGAGTTTCGCAATACATATCTAACACTATAAGCTATGTATGTTTTTAAATAGAAACTTAATCTAAAGAAACATTAATATTAAAATAAATATATAATAATAATAAATTCATCACACCATCATCAGGGTTAGTGTTACCAAAATGTCCCCTGTGGCACAGTGGTATGTCTGCAGACTTACAACGCTAGAAACTAGGTTTCAATACTCGTGGTGGGCAGAGCACAGATAGCCCATTGTGTAGCTGTGTACTTAACTACAAACAAACAAAGTTACCGAAATTAGTTGGCTGTAACTAATAATAACCAGTTAGGTTGCTATAGTAACCAGACGACACTCATTATCACTAGAGTGTTAGACTATTTGTTGTAGTAGGCATAGTGAAGTACATTATAACTGTAGTCATTTCTTACATGTAGCAAAAATTAAGTTTTTTATATGAATGAACTCTGGAGTCATTAATCCACTTGCCTAAATTATACAAATAAACCAACTTATCTCTAAAAATAGTTGAACATTGAAGTTTCTGTAAGTTATTACAGGTAATTTTAAAAATAAATACTACTCATGTTTTCATAATTTAAGTTCTTATTAATTCCTTAATCATGCACTCAAGAGCAGCTCTTTTTTTAAATAACAACTTTGTGTTAGTCTGGCTCTTTTCTTAAATTTTAGTGTTTTTTAAATTAGTAATTTCTATTTGGTACGGTAGAACAGTGCTTCTGAAACTGTTTGCCACATAATTTTTGCAATTATTAAGTAATTTTTTATTTAGTTATGTAAATTTATTATCAATTTAATAAGTTTTTAAAATTTCAAATTTGATTTACTTTCTCCTCGATACACAATATAACAGTAATTTCTGCCTATCTTAGTTGGGATGGAGGGTGCCACTAGGCCTGCCATATGAACTTATTTACCTGTTCCAAAAGAAGTTTGAGGCATTAAAAGCAGGAAGCATTGGGGTAGAATGTCTCTTAAAGGAACAGACACAAGACTGAGAAATATATTGTTTATATGAGGAATAACAGGAAAAAGTTTGAGATGTTCCCTTGAAATTTCCTGCATTATTTGGGAGTCACTGGCCATTACATAATAAAACTTCAAGTATTAAGAAATGAGCTGGGCGTATAAAAAAAGTTGTAATTGTTCCGTCACTTTAGTGGGCTTGTGCCCTTACCTTTCAAATCATTTAAGAGACTTCAAAAATGTAGCCTTGGAAATCATAGGATCTTCGAGGATTCCAAGTAAATACCGAGTGCTGATTACACAACCAAACACCACTTACGTATTTTGTCTATTCTCTCTTTTGTGCATGTTTAATTATAACTAATGAAATCTATAACATATGGATAATTCTAGTATCACCAGCAAAAAGAAAAACACAGCTAGATTTCCACTATTCCAAGTAATACAGAATATTGAGCATGTGTCTGAGGAGAAAACCAGTACACACACATAACTACTCATTTAATGCTTCATGTTTCTAACATTCTATCCAATGAAGGTGAGTGAGTTGTTGAACCTACTGAACTGCTTAGATGCATGTTAATTAGTTTATTCTAGGACAGACACAAGTTAAAACCTTCAACTAAACCTATTTTCACTTGAAAACTCTCACCTAAAGAAATTGGATTGTGTCTTGTATCTAGCAATCGTTCTCCATGTTTTTCTGCAATTTTTGTTAATTCTTGCTTCAGGTGATTAAACCTGTGTTTCCTTTGCTGCAAAAGCTTTTGAAAGCCCTGCTTCCCCAGATCCAGTAAAGTAATGAACATATCAACAGAAGGAGCAGCAGAAGCTCTACCTGTAATACAAAATATATATACCCTATCATACTTCACCACAGCCTCACTCACTGGATGTCTAGGAACATATTGCTTTACATGTAGTCTGTTGTATATCCACAAACTTTAAAAATATTTTATCCAAACAGGTTAATATTTAAAACTATGAATTTCATTTTACGATGTGTCTAAATATTCAGTTTCAGCTTTAAAATCTAAAAATGCAAGTGAATCACAGCATTCACATTACACCATCTCTTTTACAGCAATTCCTGTTAACTTCATAACGAGACATTTATTCTTTGTTGTTAAAACAAATAAAAATAAGTTTCCGCTTTTCAATGCTAGGTTAACACAAGTAGCAGCAATATATTTTTTGGCTAGGTGTCAAATACCAACAGCAAAAAATCCTTTCACCCTAAAGTGCAAAAAAACGAAAAACAGATAATATGTTTTGAAACTATAGATCTTTTGCAATATGTTGTTTCTTGTCAGTGGCAAATAGTTCCTCTTACTATGTGGCAGACCGTTATGTAAAATGTAACACATTTGTACAATGGTTAGTAAATTAGCTGAAACAAAGGATATACTTCTTGAAACAAATTAGCTTGACATTAACACTGATATCAATACACAAATTTGAAGCACACTGGCTGAAGCCAGTGAAGACATCTCACATCTTAATTAACTCAATAGACATTAGATTGAAATACATAAAGTATCATAATCAAATATATCATTTTGATGGAAATCAAATAGAAATTATCGGTAATAAATGTAAACAGTAAATTAGATTCCATGAAAACCTATAATTAGCCTATAAGAGGTGACTAATATTATTAAATGGAAAAACTGAACAGAAGATATATAAGCAGTTAAGTTCTAGTCACTAAAAGATCAAAATAATTATGCACAGAGCTTCTAGTTTCATATTACTTTTGTTTTTCACTTAACAATAATATCACAAAGATTTTTTTATAAGATTAAATTCACTCTACTGAGCCTGGGTGCATCTATTCAATGCACCTTTTGTATGGTTTGTTTATTGCACTGCAAAAACAAAAACTACTGGATGAAATAGTTTAAAACTTCAGAAGAATTTCCTACATGTTATGCAGCTAGTATAAATAAAATATTTTATATGTGATGTTGGTATGAATTTGTAGCTTTGAAAATTAGAAAAGATTTTATGATATATTGTTTAAGAACAATTAAAAATGCTTACCTTTGTTGAAGATTTTAATTACTGATTTTTTTTTCTCTTCCTACATTCATATAAAATTTTCTTCTAAAGTTTTTATTTTATAGAACCATTAATCACATCTTTGTTTTGATTAAAAAGACAGTGAATGCAGTTTTACTGTGAGTTATCTCAGACAAATCATGGAAGGGGTTAAACTCCCATTTTATACTAATTTATAGACATACTTTTCCATATTTCTTTTTTTTTTTTGTTATTTTCTTTCCCAATTCAAGTAGTCACTTGACCAATAAGGCCAAACACAGTGTTCTTGCAGGCAAAACAAAACTTGATATAATGAATCTAAGTTTCAAATGGACAGCAACTGCCTGTTGTAGATACCTACAAATGTAGAGGATTACGTTTCGAAAGTCTTCCGCCTCTCGTCTTCAACAACAGGAAGTTGCTGTCCATTTGAAACTTAGATTCATTATGAAAGAATTCATTATTATCAAAGAAAAACTTGGTATAGTCAAATAAAAATGATTTAATTAAGCCTACCTCATCTTCTCAAACAAAAAATATTTCTTTTCCTATCATACTGCAGCATTCTAATTCAAATGATGTATAAAATTATAAAGGAAGCTTTACAAAAAATCATTGCCCAATTTTAGCAAAGTTATTGACAAATATATTTTTCTCTAGTAACATCACTAAGCTAAGTTATTATCACTTTGTTTTTATCAATACTGAACTGAAAGCCACATGGGCTTATATTGCTTAAAAGAAGAGAAAAATATATCACTAACTGATGACCTCTGGAAGCTGAGCTATAAGCAATTACATCAAACCATGGAAACTGAAGATACAAAACATTTACAAGGACAAAGTAGTACTTTTTGTTCAAACTATTTTGACTTTCCTCCTAATGAATGCAAATATCATATTATGCCCAGAAAAAGCCAGGGAATTCGTAAACACTGTTTGAAGCGTGTTGAAATCAATACAAAATCAAAATTAGAATTTTTTATTATATCTTTTATAGATAAAATTAAATAAATATAACTTCTTTGACCAAATAAATTTCAACTATGTAGTTTTAACGTGTGGATGAACAAGTACAAATTTATTTTCTATAATGTTTTAATTCAAAGGAGAAATTTCACCACTGGAGTTGGGGGTGGAATATGTAGAATTAGACACAAACAGAAGTAGACAGTTAATCGCAAGCCCACAAACAGAAGGGAATGAGGGCAACTGCCAAGGAGTCAAGCAACTTAAAACAGGTCCAAACTAATCGGATACATACAATTTATTTTTTTTACCCAAGATTAAGATTTGCAAAAAAAAAAATTCCATTTCCTGCTGCTATTAATAGGATAAAAAAAAACAGTGTTATAACAGTCAGCAGTCTTGTTCTTGGGGACCACTGGCTGTTCTGCCCCAGGTCCCTGAATTGCTGTCAGTGAGCCTAGTTATTTCTGAATAAGTTTTTGGATAATGAAAGTAGAACAAATGGATACAACATTAACTCACAAATTACATTCAGTTTTAGTAGAATGTGTTGTAAATATGAACAACACTATATATATATATATCTATAAACACATACAGACATCACCAGAGCCTCTCTTGATTGTGTACATATAATGTGAGCAGCAAACTTCAATTATTGACTGTAAAAAGAAACCTAAACTCCTAAGTACTTTTTTTTTACACCAAATACAAACATAAAAGACCAATTGTTGATTGTTCAACAAATTAAACAAGCAACAAAACAATTGATAATTATCAAAAACAGTACAATGAAAAGAAAATATTCATTTTATGACTTAGAGGCCTTTCAAAACATTAATTAATTTCTTGGTCTTCACATTATTCTTATAAATACAAACTAATATCTTTAATAAAAACAGATCTATAAATTTTAATACAAGTAAGAGTTTTTCTACAAAAGTAGAGCACCTGGATAGGTTTTTCCTATTTCTTCAATTAGGTTTTTATCAAATCCAGCAATGATAGACCCACCAACTGGAACCATGAAGTTTTTATCACTACTTTGAACATATGCATCAAGTCTGCCTATTTTGGAAGCCTGTAAACAAAGAAACAAAACACAAGGTATTACATTACAGCAATGACAGACTCACCAACTAGAAACACAAAGTTTTTATCACAACTATGAATATATGTATCAAGTCTGCCTACCTTAGCAGCCTGTAAACAAAATATAATGTGTTACATTACAGCAAACCATCAACTAGAACCATGAAGTTTTAAGCACTTCTATGAACATATACACTAAGTCTGCCTACTTTGCCAGCCTGTAAACAAAGAAATAAAATATACAAGGTATTACATTATGATAAGCATTAGATAAGTGTTGAAAAACTGCATGATTAAGCAACTTATTAATGTTATCATTTTCTTTACCTAAAAACGATTGACTCATCTTTCTGCATGACAAAAAGCCATTACCTAACACACACTACCATGTAACTGCCTGAGATGAACTCAAGACTTGTCTTGCTAGACCTAACTGTCAGGAATGGCTTGGTTTGTAATGTAGTAGTCTGTCCTGTACTACATTACCAGGCAATACTCCAGCCATACTTTCCAAATGAGGAGAGCATCCACTCATTCTCGTACATATGGGATTTCATCACCTGATAAGGAACTCTCCATTACCAACTTTCCAACCAGCTTAGGACTGGGGAAGCAAGGATTCTCCCATACTTCACTAAAAGAAAATGGGGGTATTTGCATGGGGGAAAACACTGGAAAGATGCATGGACTATTGTCATCTGGAATTATGTCTACAGACTGAAAGACTGCAGAATGGGTTACCGTGATTAAAGAAAGTAGGTGAAAGCTAGGTGGGAGGGCAGGCACGCACGTGGTGCTGTCAACTTTGTTTTTGAAGCCAGGTATTGTGATGGTGTATAGCCCTAATAATGACCTTGAAGAGTACTGGACGAAACCCATAGAGTGTTTACAAAAAAATGAGTATGTTCACAAGCTAGTGCTCATGAGGATTACTGTGCATGGAGGATGTGTCACCCTACTATTGGTGGAGGGCTATAGTCTAATGATGATAACGATTACATCATACAATGGTACAATACACATTAACACATGTACAGGTGGGAAATTTGTCCAAGGCTTGTGGCATGCACAAGAACTCATATGGCATTACATTTGAAATAATATCTCTTTGTGGTGCAGAGTGGTAAATAGCATTTATGAAACACAAACTATTTGGTATTATGATGTATGCTACTGCTTAGACATATATGATCAGCCAAGAAAACTAAGACAAATACTAACTAGATCTTTACTGGTACAAGTAAGTTTTATAAACTTTTGTTGTTTTCTTAGGTTTAGAAATAACAAAAATAACTTGAGTTTCTTTTTAGTATGGTACTTATCTGGTAGTTCAGAAGTAAACACTCCCTCCAAAAATGACAACAGATATTAAACCTTCTAACTTGTGTTTTAAATAAATGTTTATTTGATGTTTCTTCCCACACAGAAAATATTCCAAGCTTATTAGCAAACAGGAATGGATATTAAGTAAACTAGTAACACTGCATAAACCAGATACTTCAAGTACTTTAAAATCATGAACATCTGTTCCTGTTTTTTTTGTAAAAGTAAATACTTTTATTCTTTTTTTTAATACACAAATAAGATTTGATGCTAACAATACCCAAGAGGATGTCAACATAGATTTAAGAGTTTCAGCTTATAAAGAATGAATAAAACAGATGGCATGCAATATACAAATAGTGTACAATGATTATTTCATGATCTTAATGTACACCCTTTTAATTTTGTCTATAAAATAAGATCTGGCAGGTTAATATACTACAGAAATAGTATACTAGGAGAAGAGAATTTTGTAGCATAATGCAGACTCACTTCTTGGATCAGATGCATGCACTTTGACGACTGCACACCATAAGCGTTATTTACCAGATGAGGAATATTGTACTGCTTACAGAGCTTAGCAACTTCTTCTAATCTATCAAAACCAAAACATAAAAGAACTTTTATTTCATTAAACTATGCAAACGTATCACCAAGAGTGTCATATGCTTTTAAACACACACACAGAGGAACATTTGTAAATTATGAACATAACTGATGTGAGCAAGTTGTTACTGTAATAAAAAACACAGCAAAAACAATGTTAATATGCAAAGTACTACAATAAAGACAAATTCATTTGATTAGTAACAACAACTAATAACTTTTATCGCAATCATTCAACAATATTTCATTTTCTTTGCGAAAGTTAAATAAATAATAGAATCACACAGTTAAAACACTGTCTTTCGTATTTCAATGAATTTCATTTAAATGTACAGTTTGTGTTCATTGTAAAAATACACAAGATCAATGCTTATTCAGTGTACTTGTACATCTGAATTCTGTTGCTCTTACAATGGCATCAAAATCTACTATAGTGTATTCAGTAATTGTATTAGATATCTTACTACCACTATATAACACTTGATATTTAAGAATATATAAAAAAAGTCTATTAGCTTATATCTGTGTGTTCACTACAGCTGGACAAATATAAATGACATTCTTACATTTAGCATTATATGTTAACATGAAGAAAATTGTCCAAAATTACATTCAAGAAAAGAATATCTGTATAATTGAAATGAACAGAATGCAAATTTGGTAGAACATGGAAATATACAGTGCAAAACGTGTCATAGTTAAAAATACCACATTATATGCATGTTTATTATGACTCTTATACTTGAAAAACTTTTAAACAAAACTTAAACCTATGCTGCAATACATGTAGCTATGAATTTGCTTCCAGTTACTTAACACAATAAAGGTAATAAAGAAAGTATCAAGATACATTTGTTTACAGCATTCGTAATTAAATTTAAGGCCAATTCATTAAGTTCCAACTTGTTTCTTTTAAAATTCAACAAAGAAACACAAATTTTAAATTTGCAGTTTAGTTATGAAATTTCTTAATACAGAGTTTACCTTAAATTATTTCAGTACATATGAGAAAAAAAATGCATAAACCACATGCACATATTGTATGAATGTTTTAAAATCCTTTGTTTGTAACTATGATCTCAGCTGATTTAATGTAACATACTTATCAAACATAACATTCTTAATTTTACCAAATGGAAATCTAATAACAGTTGCTACAATAGTAAGAGTTTGAAAAAATACATACCTGTCTGGTGTTCTTGGAGCAAAACATGAAGTGGTGGTGAGAACACAAACAATATTTTCTGCCTTTAGCTCTTCAATACTCTTCTCTAATGCCTCAATATCTGTTCTCAACTCATCTTCATACAATTTGTTCTGAACGATGACTGGTTCAAAACCTATTATATAAAAATTAAAAATTCTATTTCTAGTATTTAAATGCAAATTTAACATATTACTCCTCTTAATCGCTTGTTTGTCCACTTCATTCAACAGAAAACAACCAGAAATCGCATAGCTGCTCAAAAAACAACAACAACAACAAACACTCACTAGTTATACTTCCTAGAAATCACCCTCTGGTCATACTTCCTAGAAGATACACATTGGTTATACTTTCTAAAACTCACTTACTGATTACACTCCTATACATTACTTACTGACTATAATTCTAAGAAATTCTATACTGGTTTCAATTGCTTGGATGCACAGAATAAACAGTCAAAAAATGAAACCTTACAGGATACGTAGGATCAGTTGTTCTTAAAATTACTATCTAAATTTTAAGGATAGCATCAGAGTACTGATCCAAATAACAGTTTGAAAACTTGATCAAAAGTCTAATTCATTTTCTTCAGCAAACACAACCTTTAATTAAACTATCAAATTTAATGAATCATAAGTACTGTACACAGTACCCTAATTAATAATATATCTGCTAATAAATGTTTCTCATACAAACAAACAAAAAATTTATCCTTGACAATCACTTAAGTGGTAAATCCTCTTCTATTAAAAAAATTTAAAGATAAGATACGAAACAGAAGAACTAACAAATCAGACATGTTACAAAAAATAACAACAAAGAAATAATTATTCTGTATATAAAATGCATATTTATTAAAAACAAATAGTAGTAGCAAAACAAGTAAATGTAAGTTTCTGAAAATTAAGCTATTCACTTCATGATCATGATCCCTATCTAAACAAATTACTTTTGTCAATAAGAAATAAATAATTCTGTAAAGTTTAATAATATCCATACCTTACTTGAGTGAGTGTTTTACTTTATTACCTGCTGTAAGCATACATTTAAAACATGACTTTTGATCTATTCTAGGCCAGATGACGTATTTTGCTCCTTTGCGTCTGTGACGGAGAGTTAAAAGGCACAGAACCAGGCTCATTCCTGTTGCCATAGGAACCACAAAGGCAGAAGCTGTAGAAGGAGCTCCTGAGGGAACCAACAAAAGAAAATACATGTACAATTACAATTCTTTAAATGTAAGTTTAAAAAAAAAAGAATATTTGTCTGAAAGGTTCTCATCTACTTTATAAATAGTATTTTTTTTAATGTGCCCTTTTTTAAACTACGAGTAGAAGATCGTGTAACAAAAAGTTCCATCATCAACTGATTTTTAAAAAGGAGATTATTATCGGATTAAAATTTCTTTTAACTGAAAAATTTTCAAACTTAAGTTAAGACAAATATATCAGCATGGCATACCTGGCAAGAAAAATTCACTGAAACCCCTGGTTAAGTAATTCAATATTGCATACAAAAAACTGTGAAAGGACCTAACTTTGAGAGTGACTGTCTGTACACAGCTAGAAATACAGTCTTTATTCCTATGGTGAATGTTCTACAACTTGCATGAAATTGTTCAGTTTTACTCAGTTCATCTATTATTATAAACATCAAATATGTATATGTGGCTCTACACTTTTTTCTACAGACTAGTAACAATTAAGACACAAACTTACATGTACAAAGATATTACTTCTAACCTACGTATTTCATGAGCAACACCAACCTTCTATCAACCCAAGTTTTTTTATTCATATCAATCAATATCTTGAGTATTGATTTACGGCAATACATACATTCTTGCCAAATTGGTATATACAACTGGCTTTATTATTTAAAAGTTTATTTTTAGTAGTAATCTCTAAAGTTAACTGACTTTAATTAAAAGTTAATATTTCCAGTGCAACAAAAACTTAGAATTATATCAATAGATATTGTATGTCGTTTTCCTTACCATTATATTTTCACATACACATGTTCTTATTCTCATATCACTATATTACAAATTTTAGTTTGAAAATAATGCTTCAATAATACAGAAATATTATTAATGGTAATCACACTTATTTCTCAACCACTTAACACAGGATCTCTCCCTCAAACAGAGGCAAAGTATTGTAAGGAACAAGGAATTCCAGTAATTTTTTCTTGGAGGTGTTGCATACACCATTGTAAAGTCCAGAATATGCTGTATCCAAATGAGGGTAATGTATTTCAGTTGTGAATTATGATCAGTCATAGATACAAAAGTTGTTTTTATCCCATCACACAAAATAATTCCAGATCTCTTACATAACATTAACTACCTGCTTCACGAAGAACTTGAAGGACCAGAGAGTTAGTGAGTTTGCTCATTAAACTGGAACCTGCAGCCTTGGGCTGCACTTCATTAATATCTCCTGATCTTCCAATCCCATGTCCCATCCTTGAAAATATGGAGCAAGCACAAACACTGATAAGTCTAAATTCATACTGTTTACCTTAAAAAGCAATTACTAACATGTTACCTTCATGTAATGGTAACAACAAAAAATCATTGTTACAAAAAAAAATGTTTATTTAAACAATCTGAATATGAAGTGTTTTAGGAAAGGATAAATATATAATATACATACACAGATGTTACTTTCTATTGTCAAGACTACATGGACAAAATTCTTTATGTCAGAACAGTTCTACATACACATATGTTACTTTCTATTGTCAAGACTACATGGACAAAATTCATGTCAGAACAATTCTACATACACAGATGTTACTTTCTATTGTCAAGACTACATGGACAAAATTCTTTATCTCAGAACAGTTCTACATACACAGATGTTACTTTCTATTGTCAAGACTACATAGACAAAATTCTTTATGTCAGAACAGTTCTACACATGTTGTAAGTTCATAACTGCAAAACATTCCAAACAATTTCTATGAGACTTCGTTGTGTAATTATCAAATTCCAGTTGGTACATGTGTAAGCATGAATTATAATATCAATATTATATTACCAATGACTTGCAACAACTATGCATCATATATTGATCATACATTGTGGTCAGCATTAAGTATTACCTGTGCCATTACCAATGGTGATCATTAACTGTGTTCTACAATTAATTTATGCCAGTTCAGTAGAGTTGCTTGACAACTGTTTTGTCTTCTTCTAGATGATTACCAACCTTTTTTTGATTGATTGTGCAGACCAGCACAATCATATATGGAATTTTTAAAGACAATAAAAAATGACACAAAAATACATTAAACACAACCAAAGAAAATGATTTTTTAAAATTAAATTCACAGGTTTTGTAACTTCTTACAAAATTTCTACTGCTCATTTTCACAAACCAGTAAAATTTAAATTAGAGAATAATACAGGTCTATGGACCAGCAGTTGTGAACTGCCATTCTGATCTACTTGGCTCCACCACTTTTAACAAAAACCACACTATTTCAAAACAACCTGGATCAGAAAGATATTAAGACAAGGTCAAGATGAACTATTGTAGAACATATACCTAAAATGACGTCTAGCCACTAGCTCAGAGGAAATTCTTGCTTCACGTTCTCCAGCTCCACAATTTCCAGGAAAGTTGTTACTATCCATTAGTGACAACTGTTGAAGTAGAACTTCAATGGTTGTTTCATCCCATCCTTCATCAGGTAGCCTTCTCTGGAAAACAAATCTAAGAGTTGATCAAATTACAACAATGATATTAAATCTTTAATCTTCATTAGTATTTCAAAGAATGACACATTAACAAGTTTATGTAATTATGTCCCATTATAACAAGTTTCTACATAATTACATCCTATTGCTTATTAATAACCTTGTAACAAGTTTCTATGCAATTATACCCCATTGCTGATTAATAAATTCTATGACTGTAAATACAACTGCAGTACAAAATGCTTATGTTATTTAACCTTCAAATTACCAGCTTATTTCGATACTCATTTTTTATTTAAGATACATAGGGGATTACAGAAATAATTAGTGGGATTAATTGCAATATTAATGGTATTTTTGTTTCTATATCTCTGTTAAGCTTATGTTATTAGAGATCCTGTAACCAAAACATCACAGATCCACAAGCAATTAGGTGCACAAATAGTTTAAGACCCACGACATGAAAAACTCGGCCCTAATATGGCCACACCTTTTTTATTACTGATTTCACAACTGACTACTTTAAGCTTTCTATTGTAGTTAATATGCATTATAGGTACAGTGCATGAGGGTAATTTATCACAAAGATGACAAACATGGCAAATATGACATCTTCCTTTCTTTAATTTTTTGTGTTCATCACACACACACTACTAGTTCCTACTGTTTCCATGCTTCCTGGTATCCGATTGAAAATCTCAAAGTTGTGTTGAAATCGGCTCAACTAATGTGGCTAAACTGTTTACTAATAATTACCATTGGACTTTATGCATTGTTTCAATTATATGTTTCATAATTTGTTTTGGGGCAAATTTTTAGAAAAATGGCCACGGGTCATTATAAAATGTGTTTTTGAGTAACAATGGGCTCCATGTGGACTAGCAATTTGTTAAGCAAGTCAGTTTTCAAATAATGATATGATGTCCAGTGGCTTACACTGACATTAGTTTAATGTATGTATATATATTTGAGAATTATAGAACAATGAATACAAAGTTTAATGTATGATTTATAAAAATTGCAATTGGAGTTGTAGAACAAGAAAATCAGTTTGAAATCATAATTGCTGACAAAATCTTATGGTTTCAAACAAACCCTTAAGTATTTTATTTTGGTTTACTTTTCCCCAGATTGATTTACACATTTCATCTATCACAATGAGTATATTTAACCAATTTTCTAATATATGCTTTTAATGTCAAGCTTTACACTCATGAAAACACATCTCATCTAATGGTTCTTTTTTTTTTTTTTGTGCTACTATGGCATGCAGTCTACAAAAATATTTACACTATAGTGTGCAGTCTACAAAAATATTTACACTATTGTGTGGGGTCTACAAAGATATTTACACTATAGTGTGCGGTCTACAAAGATATTTACACTATAGTGTGTGGTCTACAAAGATATTTACACTATAGTGTGCAGTCTATAAAGATATTTACATGTGAGTGTGCAGTCTACAAAGATATTTACACTATAGTGTGTGTGGTCTACAAAGATAATTAGACTATAGTATTCAGTCTATAAATATATTTATATGCGAGTGTGCAGTCTACAAAGATATTTACACTATAGTGTGTGTGTGTGTGGTCTACAAAGATATTTAGACTATAGTGTGTGGTCTACAAAGATATTTACACTAAAACATGCAGTCTACAAAGGTATTTACACTAAAATGTGTGGTCTACACAGATACTATCATCATCACCATTTTAATGATTCACTAAAACATAATTTCTTGCTAAATAATTTATATCTATCCATGTTTTTGTTCAGCAAATAATAATAATTTAATAAGTTGTATGTTCCAAAAGAGTACCTTAAATTTAGGTTATAATTGTGATAGTTTTGATTGTTGAAATTTGTTTTAATCTAATTATATTTGCCCAAAAACATTATGTAATGGTATTTTGTACTTTTATTAATTTAAAAGCATTATTTATAATAAATGCCACCAGTTGCAAATAAACTAAAGTTAAAACAGTGATGATGATAGTATCTGTGTAGACAAGTATCCAAACTGTTAAATGGGATGTACATTGAAAAGCAGTTTGATGGAAGGTTTGTAGATTACCCTCATATAAGATGAAATAATAGTACAGTATTCATCATGAGATAAAGAAGATATACTTTTTGTATAAATGTAGAATTATTTTATAAAAAATATCCCCCAGTTTTTTATTTTTAGCATTAAAAAATATTTTCGAAATATTTACTAAATCATAAAGACTGTCGGGCTTTTCTAAATCAAACTTTCTGTGGTTTATTAAGCATACTCATTATATTACTATCTGCAGCAAGATTGGAAAGTTTACTGTCAAAGTATCACAATCAGACATAAATAGTAAATATCAAAGTTCCCAAATCAGATAATTGAAAGACCCCACTTGTAAAGTTCATTCTAATCAAAACTTTCTTCAACCAAAACAATTTGCTTTTTTTTATTATTTTACACTAATAACACAAGAACCTACATTCCAAATTGATCTTATTTGCTGAAAATTATCAAAAGTTTACTAAAATTCAAAGTAACATAGCATCTACTGGTATGCCTATGTCCCAAAAACGTAGATAGATATATTTAGAAGGGAAAAAAAATGTTCTCAAATCATGATGAAAATTAATCAGCAGTAAACTGACCCTTTAAGTTTATCATTTTAATGTACCTTTAAAACTTCCTTCTTATTGCAACTGATGATAATGAACACATTGATTGTTTTCTTGTACAGTTGACATTTTACAGGGTAACACTACCCACTGGAGTGAAAAAGTAAAACTGTTTGAGTTGGGCTACAAGATGTTGGAAACTGCATGGTTGTATTTCCTTTGTTATTTAACTATTAAATTCTAGAATAGAAAAGATAATTTTGGACCACATATATGAAACTGTATTCATAAACAGGAACACATTTTTATGGTGTACACGAGATATTTTGACTAAATGGGACAGGAGTTCAATTATCTATGCAGAATATACAAATGTAGTAAGAAAAAGTCTTTGAAAGTATAAAACTTATCATACAATACAAAAGATGTGTTATGTCTGAACTTCTACTGCTTCATCAATGTTTGTTCATCCTGGTATGACTTCTATTTCATGGTAAAGGATTCTCCCATGTATAACAAACTGTGTAGACTGGTTTAAGATATTCTGAATAAGCATACATGTACTGCAGATTGATATGAATGCACTTTACCTGTTCTAGAAGGATTCTAATCTTGTTTTCTCTCACAGACAGAGCTTGAGCAGCCTGCTGAACATAATTCTCTGGAATGAGTCGCTTGGAAAGTTCTAGGTTTGACTTATTCATCATAACTAAATAAAATATGAAAAAGAAACTATTTTCTGGAAACTTCTGATATGATAAAGGTTAAAGCTATTTTTAAAAAAATTGGCTAAATGCTGAAATTGAAATGAATGTTTTCTTTATCAAAATTGTTAAACTAAGAGCAAAATTTGCCACACTACAAGGCCTTAATCAATAACAAGTCACACTAGTGCACACTTGCATATAAAAAGTGACTTGATGCACAGTATGTGTGCAGACAATCATATACCTTACCCACTTAAGTTGTGACAGGGCATTGGAGAGGTAAATCCAGATTCTACTTTAAACTTTAACATCAAATACTACCTTACTTCTGATTGTACATGTAGTTAAAACTTTCCAATTAAAAGCAATTATAGTTGGAAGATGTGTGATATCATGTGAATTTCTTGAAAGTACAATAAACAACACACCATAAAAAATCAGCAATTTTGAGGTGTTTGTTAGTAAACACAAAACTACACTATGGACCATCTGTTCTGTGTCCAACACAAGTATCAAAAACTGGTTTTTAGAGTTATAAGTTGTCAGACTTACCATTGAGCCACTGTGGGGCATCAAGATGCAATTACAAATAATTTATAATATATTTAATATTATTACTATTAAGATAAAAAAGAAATGCAGTTACAACATTAAAAAACTTTAAAATACAAAAATCATTAACATTTCTCCATTTTCTGATATTATGTGTGAATATGCTGCCACCAAAGGATGAACATAATTTCTGAACAGGGTGTTTGATAGTTTCACTCAGTTTTGAGTTAGTTCTAACTTGTAAGACCCAGAAGAAAGCATTAACATAATACAGGTAGGACCTCTGGGTCTAATTGTTAGATTACTTAAAACCTAAAGAATAAATGGGAATAGTTTTATTAATATTACCGATTATAAAGGGGATTAAGTATTTCAGGTAAAATAATTTATGGATATTATATATTTACTAAATTGATATTAACAACATACAAATAATTATTTTCCAAGTTATTCATAATTATTATATGAGTTATATTATATCTTGGCCTGTCCCTTTACTACAATCCAAATTTCTGATTCCTATTTCAACATTTTTAATTTCAGAATAAAAATACGACTAGTTTAAAAATAGCCCAAAATTCAGGCTCTAGTTCTGCTTCTAATTTTTTTTTTTTTTCATTTACCTACCCTGGTAAACGAAAAATCTACAGAAAGTTTTAAAAGCATATTTTATTACTAAGCATATAATTAACATTAACTACGATTAATAATAGTAGTACTAGTAGTAGTACTCAGTAGTAGTGGGGAAATATGTCTAACTTTTACTCTAGTTCTATTTCTAACTTCTAGATCTAGACCTACGAGTTTAAGTTTAAAATAACAATAACAAAGTAAAACCTGAAAATTGAGTTAGATTTCTTTTTTTAATTACACCAATAAGCCTCTTTCTCAATACCAGAACAGAAAAATAATTTCGAGGATTATTCTCGCATATCTTACGCGTCGTATAATTCCATGGCGTGGATTCTCAATAAGCATAACATTTTCGCATGTAATGCAGAAGAGTCCTCTACCGGTTTTTTCTCTGAACTAATAAGGCATGTTGGGAGTTGGTTAATAATTATTACAAATTTCCAAAATGTATGAGCTGAGGCTTAAAAAAATCATATTCAACTTATTTTTGTTTCAAAATGTAATCCAGAGCCCACATTATCATGAAACTTATTATCTAGTATGATCTTTTACTCAATATTTTATGCTTTACCAATATATTTAAGTGTATTTTTTTATTTTTGTTGTTGTTTTTCGCAAAGCTATTCGAGGGCTAGTTGTCCCCAATTTTAAACTAACAGACTATAGGGAAGGTAGCTAGTCAACATTACTCACTGCCAACTACTGGGTTACTCTTTACCAAAGAAAAGTGGGATTGACTGTCACATAATAGCGTCCCCATGGTTGAAAGGGCGAGAAGGTTCGAGCCCCCACAGATTGTGAGTCTAGCGCTCCAATTATCAGATTATACCAGGACCTGACGATCTCAGAATAGAGTCTTGAAATTTTATTCATAAAAACGTTCATTATTTGAGTATTTTAATTAGTTATTTGCACTAATACCCGATTTTTTTTTAAACTGAACCTTAAAGCATATGTGTTCAGTGTATTAAACTTTTCATATAAGAATTTTACTTTTGGAAGAAATGAAAGTCTTGAGTTGGGTAGTTGTGGGTCTTTTTCTGTTGTGATCTTCTTGGGAGTTAGCACTGAAGAGTTAAAATTCCTGGAAATCAGTCTAACTCTGTAAAAAATGGTAAACCCAAGAATATATTAGTCGTGTAGTTTTTGTTGTTTTTTTATCGCTAAAAATACACAATTTTTTGTGATAAGAAAATAACATATATAATTTTAGAATGTCCTTTGATGATTTACAGTAAATCATGGGTATAAAATGCATTTAATTTAATTTATGTAGTGATGAATATTCACAAAAAATTATCCAATCTATTTACATCACTTTGTTCCCCAGTAGATATGCGGTAAGCTTATAGACTTACAACACTCAAATCTGGGGTTAGATTCCTCATGGTAGCAGGTAGTTTATTGTGTGGCTTTACGCTAAAACAAACAAATAACCAATACATAAAGCTACGATCTATCTGATAACTCAAACTTTAATAATTAAAACAACGTTACAACACAAAACAATCACTCCTGAAAACATGAATATGATAAACACATTTAATAAGTATTATTACTTCTTTAACACCCCCAGTGGCACAGCGGTATATCTGCGGACTTACCACGCTATAATCCGGGTTTCGATACCCGTGGTGGGCAGAGCACAGATAGCCCATCGTGTAGCTTTGTGCCTAATTACAAACAAACAAAACTTCTTTAACATAAAGTAGATCTTGATGTGATTTTATTAATGAGCTTCGAAACTTCCGCTTTGAAATATACATTGTACAACACTTCGAATTAACATATTTCGTTTTGAAATCTTTTTAGACTTAATTTTAACTCTCTTAGCAAACCGCGGGTGACAGTAAATTATAAAATATTCTGAAAAATATATTTTCAATTTGTCCAGCAAAAGTTAATTAATTAAACTGCGGTAACAGTACGCAGTGTCGTAGCCACGAGGGCACGAAAGGCCGCAATGCGCCCTCTAAAACTCTGCCTTAAAAAAATAAAATAATGGCTCTTTTTACTTTTTTCGAACTTCAATAATTTTTTCGAAGTTGAATAATTCCAATGTACTCATATATAAAAATATTAGGTACCCGAAGTAATAGTTGCTGTAAATCAATATTTATAAAAT